ATCTAGCTAAATCTAGCCAGATTTCATCTTCTCTTCAAAGATTACTGCCGATATTTTTATGTTTTTTTTTTTTCTCATTCGCTTTTAAAAGAGATTTAGCAATTTAGTAATGACATACAGATGCCTTGAGTGGACATCTTTGTCTATTTTCATAATGTTTTTTATAACCATATTTCTTTTGGAAAGTTGTATTTTCTAAGTTGTTTCAGTTGGATGACTGGCAGCCATATAAAAACATAAAATGTAATGGTAAAGCATAATGACATGCACTACAATTGAAAAGTTTGGGGTCAGTAGGATTTTTAAATGTTTTTGAAAGACGTTTCTTCTGTTCACCAAGGCTGCATTTACTTAATCAAAAATACAGTGAAAACAGTCATATTTATGAAATACTAATACAGTTTAAACAAAACATTTTCTATGTGAATATGTTTTGAAATGTAATTTATTCCAGTGAAAGGTGGAAGCTGGAAATCATTCAGAAATCCTCTAATGTGCTGATTTGCTGATGTTGAAAATAGTTGCACTGCCTAATGTTTGTGGAAACATACTTTTCTTTCAGAGTTGGCTTTAGGCACAGCTGCACTACTTCCTGAACTTAAGCTACCTCCTTATTTCCTGTCTGCCATTATTGGCCAAACTTGATTCATTCGGGTATGTCTGATTTTTGTTACCGTGACTACTATTTGTTGCCGTGAGGTCAGGCACACCTGAATTAATTAATTTGGTCAATAATGGCAGACAGCAAACAAGGAGCTGGCTTAAGTTCAGGAAGTAGTGCAGCTGTGCATAAAGCCAATTCTTTGATGAACAGAAAGCAAAAAAAAAGTGTTAAAGGGACACTTCACCCATTTGCATTAAGCTTTGTATCTTTAGAAACCCAGTCATTTTTTTGAATGGTCATGGTTTATTCCTTATTTTCCCCTGAGATGGGAGAAATAGTATTTAAGTGTTCCACATCCTGCTTTTTATGACGTAAAAATCATCATTTTGCATCATAAAAAGCAGGAAGTCACATTTCTTTGTATAAGAGTTGAGACTACAAACACTAGCTCATCATTATTCCAGGGGATGCGACCCACTCACACTACAGACCTATAACAGATCAGTGG